AGATATCAGCCTTCTTCGTCAAGCGAACTACAAGAGTCTCTGTCCCAGGCAAGTTGAGTCAAGGAGAGCATAGCAGCCTTCTTCATCAAGCGAACTGTCTATGTCCCAGGCTGCTCGAGGGACAGCATCAAGCCATGATGAGAGCTCTCCCGAGAATTCAGACATGGAGGCAGAGACAGACCTACCTCAATTACAGAGGAGAAAAAGTCTACCAACATCCAGTAAAAGAACTGCTGGATACCCTATGTCAAGTGAGAGTACGCATTAATAAATTAATTTTCTTTTCGTAGAAGTTGCATTTTATATATTATAATATTATATCAAAATTCAATAGGTATATATTAAGACACAGCAATTTTTATTTGTATAAATACATGCTTATGTTTATTATACGCACTAACTACTTTGTATTCAATGAGTAGATAAATTTAATTTAGGATTCCAGAGAAGAGTAATTCAACTGTTTGTGAAGATTCGTGATAATGTACAACAAGGGCATATGGATGGAAGATCGGTAGAGGACTTGGGCACGTTTGTAGTCAGATAGTATGATACCCTCCTCTTTGATGACTAATAGAGACGAAACAATAGAGTAAAATGGTAGGTTTTTAATGACTTAATAAATTAGTAGAAAACATTTAAGAATATTCTATCTCAAATTCTGATTTTAAGTATATGTAACATTTGAGAAAATTGTCATATGCTTAAAATCAATTAAATATATCTGACCAAAATCTTATCTATTTTTAATGGTGTTACAAAGCAATTGAACTAGATGAAAAGACATTGAGAAGGTTAGTTTAAGACTTTGAAAATCAGAATGGGAGGGAATGGCAGTTTCTGTTACTGGTAGCTTTTTTGTCTCTTGTTCACTTAAATTTTACAAGTCTCTTCCAAGTCAAAAATTTCATTTTCGATGCTGTTGAAATGATTACTCTTTTCCTGCACGCAGCTTTTTTTTCAGGAGGATTTTTTTCTAATAATATCTGAAAGCAACTCTGGTTTAAAAAAAAAAAAGAACTATGATATTCATTCTCTTTAAAAGATTTTTCATATGGTTATCTGATATTACTCCAACCCTGTCTCTGCCTACATGTTGTAACATGACACAGTATAAAAAATTGGGGTAATAGTCAGAGACTAGGGGTGATTTAATATTTTTAAACAACCCAAATAATGGATCCTTGTAGCAAGGAGACTCGTATCCTACATCATTCATGTTTGCTTTGTGTCGGAAGCTCCGAAGGATGCCCCAGAAACAGAAGATGACAGATCTCCATGTCGATCGGCTAACCCCAGGACCCCCATATTCCTCTGTTTGACTTGACGTATATAGTCCGAGGTCAGTAATTACCGCAAACATTTCCACAGTTTCAAAATACCGATCCAACACCACAGCCTCTGACATAGATCATAATTCTAATTCACAAGCAACAAGTTGGACTTGTTGTATGCGGTCGCAGAGAATTTCTAAACATTTAATTATATACATATAATTAAATATCATTTTTTTAAGACTATCATGTTTAAAACGCTTGTTTTTTTTTCTTACAGCTAAACCTGTCACTGAGACATGTATTTCAACAACACATGAGAAGAAAACGTTTTTGTCGCCCGGTCTAATTCCTACGAGTGAATACATCCTGTTTCAGATGAAATTACAAGTTCTGTATTACAAGTCTTATGCATAAATGTTTCATCAAATATTATATTCAACAGAGAAGAATAATGATCTTTTCTCTTCTTTGGACAACAACTAATACACATCCCCTTCCAAAAATTCGCCAAAATAATTTTATTTTTATTCTTATTGAAGTCGTTTTCTGAACATTGTGACGTCAAAAGATAAGGGTCTTTTCTCATGACGACAGTCATACCATTTAAAAGATGTTTGTACACAAAGTTTCAAAGCACATTAGAATTTCAACAGAACACATTTACTGTGAATGGGAGTCCATTATCCAAAAGTTCTTCATTATCATTCAATACGACATACGGGGAACACTCTGCAGCCGCATTTGTCATAAGTCGGGGATTCCCAAAACGCATTTACCCCTCTAACAAGGTGATCTTTCGTCCTAGATTTGGTTTTCTTCTGCCGGTTATACTTCATTGATATCCAGGCATTCGGGTTGAGATCTGGTAATGAGGCAGACATCTTTATAACGTTTTCTAATACCGCATGGTCTTCCATCAAATTCTTCGTTGATTTTAAGTTCTTTTTTAGCCTTCAGGGGTTCTTGCCCCAAAGGCACTAAAATTAATAGTGCGCAAAATATTCTTGTCTTACAATATAGTATATCTGAACTATATAATACGCTAATAAGGCTATATAGGACCAAGGCAGTCTGTTAGATCTCTGTGTACAGATTTTGAGACACCTTATCCAAGTTGGTGTTTGGTTTGATTAAGAAAATTTTTTTCTAATGGTAGTTCAAAGGTGATCATCCTGTGCCTCCCAAAACTAGATGACTTCCTTTCTTTTTACTTCTTACTTCAAAGAAAGGAATTGCAATGCAAATATAATCATGAAAGATGTTGTGCTCTTTCCTGACTATAAGATGAAATTATTCATAATATGTGAATTTGATGTTTCTTTCCCTTTGTACTGTGTTTGATTACAGGCATGATTAATTGAATTGGATTTTAAAGGTGACGAAAAATGCAGAAAAGATCAAGAGGAAGGCAAGTGAAAACCTTAGGTATTTTTCATTTAGATAATCACTAAAACGTATACAAAGAGTCGTATTTATATTGTACTAACGAAGACGAAAGATAATGCATCAAAGCGTCTTACTGCAGAGGAAAATTACTTGATAGTAATATAATAACCTGGAATGTATTATAATGTATTATAATTTATTAAACATCAATCAATTTTCAGTTTTTATGTTAATCAGATGCAACACTTATTATTCATGAAAATGGAATGTTTTCACTCGCAATATAACTTAAGTAATAATATAAAAAATTCTTCAGAGGCTTTATAAATCACAATCAATATTTCATGACAAAGTCGCACGGGTGGTGGTTCTTGGGGTAGTGGTCTTTCTTTCGTTCTCCTAAGAAGTGCTAATAAATTATATTTCCTTTGGATACCTCATTTATGCAGAATAAAATGCGTTGTTTCATGCATGAAATTCACAAAGATCATTACATGCAGTAATAATTAAGTTGTTAAATATTCAATAATGTTGGTGATTTTTTTTAAGATTCGCAAAAAGTAGGCAGAGGAATAACTGCCTCATGCGGGCGATTCAAAACATTCACAACCTCACATATGCATAAATTACATGTAATTTAATGTATATTTCTGTTTCATAAAGCTGGACGCCGAGTTGGGGGAGACGTACCACTTTGAAGTTCACTGGATCTGCAGAAATTCCTGTACCACCGTGCATAACCCCACATATGGGGCGCGGAATGGTGGTACCTGGGGTGGGGAATTTGCAATATTCGTTGACCTGATTAGCTTTCCTTTAGTGATTCAGATGAAAATAATCCTAAATCCATTTACGGCGGAACACAGTGATATCCAGCTTACTATTACTCGTTTCCCAGGACGGAACTCGTCCTAGAAATACATGGACACTTCTGCAATATCTGGCAATCTTTATCATTACTGAGAAACTATATCATGGCTGAAAACAAACGAAAGCGTCCTCCAACTTTTAAGTTAGAAATACCAGCTAATAAAGACAAGAAAATTAATATTATGCAAAGTCTTCAGGAAGTCAGGGAAATGTTAGTCAAACAATTGGGTAGACCTGTTAACAATGCCTACATCATTGAAAATTTGCTGTCTACATGGAAGAAGTCATTAGCTGACGACGATCATCCAAAAACACCTGGAACTTATATTAATGTTAAGAAGAGTCAGGTGAACCAGGACTTCTTTGTGACATCGTTGCCTTCTGTGAAAAAACTCATGGATTTAGCTGCTGTACCTGGAAAAATTGTGAAGGAAAATTGGAGGTAAAAAAGGCAATAAAACGGGGACATGTCACCTCTTTGAAACTGTGTTGTTCGAGAACTAATCGTCCTAAACACAGGTATATTTGGGCATCTTCACCCTACCTTCCGAACGGAAAATATCTTATCAATGAAAGAATTAATCATTCTTTCTTGTGTAATGGTATGCTGTCATCCTGTTATTCTAGATTTTGCAGAGAAGCAGAAATCAGTGTTCTTTCCGTAGAAAAACGGAATTCGTATTTTAAAATGTACAAGACATTTGTCCAGCAAGAGTACGAAGACTTTATTCACACCGCTTTACTAGAGGAAGTGGGGCTATATGACAATTTAGACGGAATTGATATCATAACTGACGCACGGAATGGGTGGCGGAAAAATGCCCAGGACATAAGTGTGGTGGCAATAGGAGAGAAAAACGCACAAAGTTCTTAACTGTGTGCACATTGCAACCACTGATGATCCAGTTGCCCAGAGACATGAAAAAACTGGAACTAAAAAAAATTACGTGGATCTTGACAGCAAATAAGTTTCTGTCAACGTCCATACACATGACAGAAATATGTCGAATTAACAAACTAGTCAGGGAACGTGAAAATGGATTTACCTGCAACCAAAACGACATTTGGTATGGCATAAAAAATATTAAGAAAGCCATGTCCACTATTTCAAGTGGATCACGGTTCAAAGAAGGTAAAACGTGGTCCGAGGAGATTTACGATAAACTGGACGCCGTTTCTACACATTTCTACTGGGCCATCAAACACTGTGGTGGAGACTCGGATACGCTCAGAGAGATGTTAGACAATATCATAGATCACTATAAAAACAACCATGAAAGTTGTCATTCTTCCTCGAGATGTAAAGTGGCCCCGAACTACGAATCTTCCCGAGTGGTGATTCAAAACCCTGTTGCAGAAAAACTATTAAAAGGTGTGATCATCAATTCAGTGATCTGTAAAAATCCTGATGATTTTCGATTAGGACGGGATACTTATTTTGCTGAGAGTTTCAATAACACTTAAATTCTCCTTCGGCATTCAGTCACGTGGTGTCATGTGAGATATGCTTGCTAGTTCCCAGATCAGTTTTGCTGCTATTACCAGTGCGAGCGCACGTGTTTTGTTTATCTTCTGCAATGAAATTTATTATACTCGGGATTTTTCAGTTTAATTGTGAATTATGACTGATTCGGTGTTACAAAGACTTGCAAAGGAATTTGAAGTCGAAAAAGACAATGATTTGTCGTATGAGGTGGCAAATGCCCCGAGCAATCTCGGTAGTCCTCAAAATCCCGGACCCAGCACTAGTACTCCATTAAAGGAACAGAAATCTAGTCAGGAGTCGTTGTCAGATTCTATGAAGTCGTTGATAGAATCACTGCAGAAGCAATTCAGTGATTTCCAATCATTGGTAATTGAAGAAATTAAATCCACTAATGCGCAGATTGACAGTTTTATGGAAGAGCCCGATACAAAGAAAGCAAAGTTATCTAATGATAACTTGGAGATAATTAATCCAAACAGAGAGGAAAATTCCTCGCAAGATAAAGAAGAGGCAAAGCCAGAATCAAATACCTCAATTTTGTTTAAACTTTCTGACAAATTTACATCTTCTGAAAAAACGGGCCCTACTATTAATTTGGAACTATCCAAGATTCTAAAATCGATTGTTCGTGAACGGCAAACCAAGAAGGATGATGAAAAAAGAAGAACTGATCTCTTGGAAAAGAAACCACGGCCTGAAAATTGTGAGTTTCTCTCAGCTCCGAGGGTAAATCCCGAAATTTGGAGAAAGATATCTACCAATACAAGATCTAAAGATATAGATTTTCAGAAATCTCAATCCTCACTTCTACGGGCTCTTGGACCGGTTACATATGTGTTGGAAAAATTGTTGGAAAAAGATCCAAAAGGAGAGGATGAGGAAATTTCTCCGCTAATCGAAAGTCTAATGGATGCTGTAGTTCTCGTCTCTCTGGCCAACGATGATATGAATGAATTTAGACGGAGCAACATCAAGCCTGATCTGCATACGGACTACAGACCTTTGTGATCTAACCTGGTCCCTGTCACCGAAATGCTTTTTGGAGACAACATCGCCGATCAATTAAAATTAATTCAGGAGGCCAACAAAGTTGGAAAGAAAGTTGACAAATACCAACAATCGACAAAGCCTTTTTTAGGATCAAGGCCTTCTTGGACAAGTGGTTCCAGGAAGGGAAAAACGGGGTGGGGAAAACAAACCCAAGACAACACCCAGACATCATAATGGAACAAGGGCAGCAGTGTGCGAACCCCTTACAAAGCGAAGAAGTTCTAGAGTCACAGGTCAGTACACACATTGCTGGTTGTATATCAAAGTATATAGAAGACTGGCAGGACCTGACATCAGATCCTTATATTCTTGACATTGTTAAAGGATAAAAAATTGAATTTAATCAAGCTCCGTTTCAAAACAAGGGCTAGGCCAACAATTGCTAATAAGCGCGATTCTGAGATAATTGACGATCTCATGTTCTCCTTTGAAAAGAAGGGCATAATTAGATAAACTAGTCATTGTGATGGTGAATTTATATCTACGGTTTTCACAGTACCAAAATCTAATGGATCGTTTCGACTTATTCTAAATCTTAAAGATATCAATGAATTTGTCGTGTACAAACGTGGGTATGTTAAGGCAGCACATGGATCAGAAATCGGCGAATTAAGGAATTTCCACACTCACAATTTTATGGGTTCAAAGTACAAAAAACTGCATATATTTTCATTCAATATACTTAAAACTTTCCATTTATTGCAAAAAATGTATAGGTCACCATATTGTTTAAGATGCAAAACATAAATAAACAGAACTGTATGTCAACATCAAAAAATTGTACATTTTTTGTTAAAAGAATTGAGAAAAATATGTAAAAACTGGTTAATATGCATAATTCTGATGCTGAGTGATCCTAAATACTTCCTACCTAAAAGATACTTTTGAATTGTGAATATCAGGTAAACTATTTTACAGAAAAGCAAATGCCTGAATGAAGATACCTTAGAGGGAGTTATTGCCCTTGTAAACATTATTTAAAGATTGAATAATTGATTAAATATAGAAAATATGCATTTTTTGAATTCTTTCACTAAACAATATTTATCATTACACCTATTGTAAAGCATTGTTCCAAAAGATATTTCTCTATAAGGTACAAATTTAAACTAATTACAGTTTTTGCAAAAACCTATGACATCATAGGAGTGTGGAATTACCTTAACACTCTTCGATAATTTTATAACACTAATAAATCGGAAAAGTTAAGAATAAAACTTTTGCTATATAATTATGCATTCTATAGACTTCAATGAAACTTAAACTACGTTAAGCACTTCACTATGACCACAAGTGCTTGACGTTTTTAACCTTTCTATTAATAAATAAAATATGTCTGTACTTTCGAGCAATTCAACTCAAATCATACTTTTGGGTCCACCGCGCAACTCAAATATCGTAATTCGTTCAAATCAGACAAATGTAAAATATTTTGACACGAATTTTTCAAATAATCAAAATGTAAGACACGTTTTATATACAAAATAAAACATCATTTTTTATATGCTGATATTTAAAAACACGTTTATTTTAAATTTAAGTCGACTTCTTCCAAATGTGTTTCGCGCAATTTACGACATGCGCACTATTATCGTCTGTTTACACGGAAGTCGGAATGTCATAGTCAACAGACTATCACGCCGCAATGGGAAAAGTAAACAAGAAAAGCTGGTTCTGCAGTGCTAAGGAGAAAGAAAGAAGAGAAAGATTCCTGGCGATTTCGAATCCGATCTGCTATCAGGAAGGATCATAACTATGCAAACGAAGGAGAGGGAAAGAAGAATCATGAGAATCCTCAGACTGTTTCCCCAGACATTGGTCACGTCACCGAGGATGTCAGTTCTGATGGTGAAAGTTCCTCTGAACCGGATAACACCTGGTCCACTGGTCGCAGGATTGTGGAACTTGGGGTACTGGCCGAAGCCCTCAAAGCGTGCGATAATAATTTTTACTTTAAAAGTATCTGTATTACATTAACTGTACTCATTATTTTACTTTCATGTACAATTTTCAATTGTATATTAATTTATAATTTTTAATTATACTTATTCACACACATTTATATAACATTTCAAATTATTCAACTCACCAGCAAACAAATATTTTTCATCCAAATAATGCGCAAAAACATCCACCAAGGAGTCATACTCGAGAACAATTGATATATATTTCCGTTCTTGTGATCATTCTATATACGAAAGAAAATCTAAGAAAAATCTTAAGGACTTCACATATTTTGATATGTTCATAATTTTAATTGACCTCTGCTGTTTGATAGAAAACTGGTATAGATGCCAAAAATATAAATCTATCAATAAATCCATCCGCACCAAACATCTGTTCTAGCTCTTCCATCTGAGGCCAGGGTTGAATAAATAAACACATTGACATGGATGTGCTTTGGAATCCTATGTTACCCGAGAACAGTTCTATCTGATCACCTTTTCCAAACCACATTTTGCAAAGTGCCGACCTTTCACTCTCTCCCCTCTGTTGATTCCATGACCTTCGTCTGTGGTGATAAGACCATACCCCTCATTCTTAATTTGGAGCAATTGTATTCCGGCATTAGTATAATTTTCAATATATTAAAAATCAAATGAAAAGTTTACACTAGTTAAGTTTACAATGGTTTGTAGTTTTGGTTAAAGATAAACAAATTACTTTTAAGGAGTCCCCTTTAAACCACCTGTGCATTGTGCAGCATTGAATACTGTAAACTGGATCCCATCACGTACACGGATCAGGTGAGAAAAAAAACTGTTTTCCGGAAATGTGATTTGATAGAGGCCAGTGAGAATAGCACACAAGGTATGATAAAAATTCTTCAAATAGTTGCTGTTCCGCATGCTAAGGATAATCCAGACAGTATGGTTTTGAAAAGGAGGTTTATTGTTGGGCATGTCTTTACGAATGAAAGGGCATTCAGTGCCCAAGCAGCAATGCAGAACAGCCCCTCTGACTTCGCGGCCCTATTAGGTGTTATTCACAGACCAGAAGGTCTACATAGAGAAATAAACTGCCATCTTGTGTAGTGTATCAACACTTGGGAGTTGACGGTTTGGAGATATATTGATAACAGTTGTTGTTTCAAACAAGGGCACTGCTAAGCGGAGCATCCCCTCGCAGATTGACATATTATGAACATAAATGGATTACTAGATGCAGAAATGATAAATAAGATCTCTGTCTCTCTTTACACATATTTTTTGCACATACACAGATTCACACTTTCAAATTATAGCAATTATTTAACCCTCTTCCCCACAGTCACACATTTTAACGCGTATACTATTTCATATTTCTAACGCAAAATCACACACCTTTTTGCAACAATCACACATTATCATGCACTTTTCATTATTAAAATATTACGTTATTTTATTTACCAGGCATGCTCAACTTCAGAGAAACTTGAATCACGCTATAAAGTACTTGTGGGGAAATTGTAAAGTCATATATCTATGATGTGAATATCAATGTATGTTGCATAACAATTTAGTAAGTTGTAAAGAGTTAAGGTCTGTTTTATGATTTCAAGGAATTGAACAATTTTTTACTGTGTGCTGAAATCCTTACTCTGATACTGGAGATACAGTAATTTGGAGAAATGTAGCCAAGTGGTCTGAGTAATATGTGTAAAAGTTTTCTTTTCAATATCATCAATTTTCCTAGTATGTATATGAACTAGCATAGGCATGAAGAAAATCTCCAGCAGGGCCATTTGCTTAGCCTATATGAATGCTTACACAAACTTGCTTTGCAACATCCTAGGCAGTATTTTCAAGGATTTTTCTCTGCTTATTTCCAGATCAGGTGATTTTGAATTTCACCATCAGATAGTCCATCAAAAGGTTTGTAATGATTTCACTTAAGGGTAGCTCCATCTACATGGGCATCTGAAGATTAATCAAGCAAATATTTTAATGATTGTGGAAACAAAAAAGATCAAAGAGGCCATTTCTTATGTAATCTGATTCATTCATAATATGAATACCTATTGCACTATTAGTTCGCTCAGGGTTGCTCCATCTACATAGACATCTTGTATACATTGCTGAGGTTTTGTATTTTGATTTTGCAGCGCCATAATTGTATGGATTACAGTATGTGAAACGAATTGGAATTGAAATAATATATAACCTGCTGAACTTTGAAACCTATTGATTTATTTCAATATACAACCAAGGTATATATATAATATCACGAATTCTATATTTTTAAAGACATTTCATACAAAAATTAATTAAAAATCTTTTTTAATTTCAAATTTATTAAAATTTATTATTAATGTATTTTGGGGTATAAAATAAAAACAAAAACCATGTCTGACCGTTATTTATTTTGTTTTTTTAATGATATGTTGGAATTATTTCTTTATTTCACTGAAATAATTCTTTATTTCACTGAAATAAAAGAAAAATATAGAAATTAAGATAGATTGTTTTATTCTACGTAATTGTATTTTTATGATTTAAATAAATACACTTATAAACCTCAGATATTAAGGCGTTAGAAGTATAACTAAAAAATGAAGCTTTAATGTTACGTATAATATGAACATTGTAGAAGAAATTCACAGGCGCTTGACGTTTTTAATCTTTCTCTGTGTAAATTGTGTAATTTCATGTGTAACCGATAAAAGAATTCTTACATTTCTACGATGTCATTTCCCCTCTTCTTGCCCCTAATGGATAGTCCAGCACTGAAAACTTTGTGGGGGTAAATTCTTCCAGGTTGGCGTTAAAAACTGTTAGCAAATCTTTTACCACTTCTACAAGTTTACTTGGAAAAAAAATTGTATGTAATCATAAATGACATGATAGAATATGGTTTGTCCCTATAATAAGAATAACAATGCCATTGACAAAAAATAAACACTATATGCTATTTATCCCCCTTATTGTTGCGTGTACATGGCATTATATATAGCGTAATAAGGTAATATCCCTTTTAGAAGCATTACTCAGTTTTCGCATCGGGATCTGCCAAATTGGAGGTTAACTCGATAAGTTAACTTCTTTGTCTTACAAAATTATAGAAAATATTATAGCAGAAATATTTCACGGAAAATCTTTTTTTCATTTTTTTAATGAAGAAGGCATCGATAAATGTATATACTTCATAAAAATAATGATTCCTTATTAAAAATCGCAAATAATGAAATTTTAAATTGGTTGGAAACGAGAATTTAGACCTCCAGTATGGCGGCCAACGATAAGTAACTCTTGTTAAATTAAGGTCAATCAAAAACTATCTATAGGAGGAGAATTAAGTATGAATTAAGTAAGTTAAGTTTCCCTCTTTCAGGCTTTGTTCTGCCAAGTTTAAGGGGATTAAACAGAAATGCTTGGTTTAAAATCTTCAAACTTTTTAAATAATGGAGGCTTCAAAAAATTAAAATATTTCAGAAAAATAATATCTTCTTCAATTAAAATTTAAAACTGGTTGAACAACGAAGGAATATGAGCATTTGGACCTCCAGTATTGCAGACAGGAAATAAATCTTGATAAATTCTGGCCTATCGAAAGGTAAACTATCAGATTGTATGCTTTGAATGT